AAGTTGTTTTTCCCGTATAGCAATCAATGAATAGCTGTCAAATTAACGTGACGTGTAATCTTTCTCTTTAATTCATCTTTCCTTACGATTTTGTCACGTTAATTTTACGGCTGTTTCTCGATTATCAAAGTAAAAGGAAATTTTCCGAAATATTTTATACACGGAACAAAATTTCAATTCGGATAATTAAATGGGGAGCAGATGAAAACCTCGCTGAGAGGTTATATTACTCGACGAGAAATTATATTACTCCGTTATTATTGTGATCAAAAACATTTGTTTGAACATTCAGCTGCATTAAAACTCGGTTAAGATAATTGAGAGTGATTGACTAATGAATAGAAAGCTCTTATATAAATCTTCTTGTTCCTAAAACCGAGTTTTTCACGAAAATTTTAAAGAAAATTAAGGGGTCTGGAGATTGTCTGAAAATCGTGCTTGTTTTTTCACAATTTTTTACGACAAACTGAATGAATATGCAAAAGTGTTATTTTAACATGTATTTATATAACATATAAAGAGAAGAAAAATATAATTTTGATGATCAAATACTCAATATAAGTGTATGGTACATGCAGTTAAAATATATTTCGTTTTTCTTTTCAAGGTCGTCATTTTGCAGTAATATCTTGACTCTCGGGGGTTCAATTAAGCTGAATTTTAGATAGAAAATTTCTGTAAGCTTGTCGTTATCATGTAAACCACTATAATAGAAATTAAGTAAAATTTAACAAAATTACAAATATCTTAATGGAATATTATTAAATTTTCAGTTCTTTTATAGTAAAAAAATTAATATTTCAAAATTAAATATTTTCATGAGTTTGTCAGTGGTTTACACAATAACGACAAGCTTACGGAAATTTTTTACCTAAAGTTCAGCTTAATTGAACCACCGAGAGTCAAAATATTACTGCAAAATGATCTTGAAAAGAAAAACGAAATATGTTTTAATTGCATGTACCATACACTTATATTGAGTATTTGATCATCAAAATTATATTTTTCTTCTCTTTATATGCTTTATACACGTCAAATACACATCAAAATAACACTTTCTCATATTCATTCAGTTTGTCATAAAAAATTGTGAAAGAACAAGCACGATTTTCAGGCAATCTGACCCTCCAGTTTCCTTAAATAACCAACGGAGTTGTTTTTTCCATGAAAATGTGTTCAATGGATCACAAGTATTATTTTATGAACGTATTCTTTTATTTTAATACATTCTGCAAGAATCTGACCGTTTTCTCGTTTCTGATTATACGTCATTATACAGGATACATAAGATATAAGATATATTTTATAGGATATGGAAGCTTTAAGATTTTAGTATTTGACCAAAGTTTAAGTTAAACCTATTATATGCAGGATCAGAGAATCGATTATGGAATCCTTGTTTTTCGAACAAACATTGCTACAATGAAAATACATATATAAATTAATATCGCAGTAATATTGAAAAATATTGCCTATAAAGTTTAATAAGAAGAAAAGTATACAAAACTTAATTGCAACTGGAATACTAACAAAGAAGTAAGAAGTGAGTAAAGCAAAGGACCAAAAGGATGAGAGATAATAGGAACCACCCCGCAAGCATTCAAGGGACATTAGTGAATAACACAATTAATAAAATATTTTTTATTTTTAAAAAAAGCATTGTTTATAATCACTGAAATAATTACTTCACATATTAAAGAAAAACAATTATTTAAATGTATCATATCCATACCTCATTTGGAAAATAAACGCAATAAACAGGAAAATGGAAAATAAATATAATAAATAAATAAACAACAGGAAGAAACAGCGGGAAATTTATCTAATTTTTTTACAAAAATTCCTTAGGTTAAGTTAGGGTAGTTATCTATCTTTACAATGGTTTAGTTCGTATTATCAACACGTTTATATGATCAACAATAATATAAACGATAATAAAAGTATCATATCCATACCTTATTTGGGAAATAAACGTAATAAACAGAAAAACAGAAACTAAACATAATAAATATAATAAATAACAGAAAGAAATAGAAAGAAATTGATCCCATTTTTTACAGAAATTTTTCAGGTTAGGTCAGGTTAGTTATCTATCTTTACAATATTCATATTATCAATATTCATATTATATAAATTTTTTAAATTTTATATTATCGTTCATATTATCGTTCATATTATCAATAATAATTTATATGATAAACAAAACTTCCTCGTGTCATTTTAGGAACTGAAAAATGCCATTAAAAATGTTAATGTGTTCTTTAGCAAGATAAGCTCTACTGGCAGGTTCCGGCACCACCAGAAAATACGGTAAAACTGAACAAAATTTATATGAGAAACAACTTCCATATGACTAATATTCCTCCCACCATGTAGACAGAATGCGTACGATGGAAAAATCCTGGCGATTCTATGTTTAATAAATGTTAAGGCTATTATATACCGGCTTGTGTGTGTATGCGTTGGAACAGGGTGGAAAGGTGCATGCACACGCGCGTGTAGCACGCTCATGATGCAGCGTGCACTTTATTAAGGAGGCCGGGATAACGGACCTTTATTACGCGGAAATTTTTCACGTTTGCTGCGCGGCCACGCCGCGCGTGTTTACCGGCGGTGTGCTACCGTTGCGACGTGTAAGCACGAGCCGCAATAAGGACGAAGATAATCCGCGACGACCAGCGCCGAGGTCGTGGCTATATACGACATTGAGTAAAGCGAACGAGGAAAGAGTATGCAAAAATGTTTGTTTCACGGTTAACAAAGTACCGCCTCTCTTTCTGGTTCTTTTTTCCTTTTTCCCCGGCGCGCGCACGAGAAGCGTATTATCTACGAGCGAGTAAATTCCATGAATAATCGAGTCGTACGCCGTGGAAACGCCATCGTGGACGCTAGTTATGAACTATGAATAGAGCGCATTTCCACGAGCTCGTTTCCATACGCGCGATGACTCATTTTTTCTCTCCGACGGCGACCGGAAGCGGCACTCGCGTTGACACACCCATTCATCCTCCATCGAGATCATCGAGATCGGAGATATTCGGGACGCGGAGCGACGCAATTATCGATGATGGGAGGAATGTGGAGCAGAGGCGCGTATAATACATGTGTCGGATAAAAACACGATACGCAAAGTATAAAAAAGAATACGTGTAACAATAATTATAGGCTTGGGAAGCAGTGTTGCAGTAACGCGCCGTCACAAGTTCCATTTTTCAGCAACGATTTTATCATTTTTTCCATTAGCAATAGTAACAACGAGTATAATCTTTACTTCTTTTTTGTTACTTTGCGCACGCAACAAATGTGTATGGGCGACAGCGTAAAAATCGTAAAAAAATAATCGTAAAAAGTAAACATAAAAAGAATGTTTTTAAAACTTGGCCAAAAAATAAAGGAAATTGTAATTTTGTAAAAACGACGCGTAACTTCTCATAACGATAACGAGTTACCTTTTTCAAAATGAGTAAATGGCAATGGGAGTAATGAGAATAAGTTACTTTTTTCTAATAATAGATAACGTTACTTTTTTCTAATAATAGATAACATGTAATGGCAAAATTGGTAAATGACGTATTATTTATAAGTTGTTACAGTTGTAAATTACTAATTTTCTGTAACGACTTGCTAATGACATATTTTTTTCATTAATAACAGTAATGCGATTGGTTAACGATGACGAATATAATTAATAATTTTGTGGAAAAAATAATAGAAATTGAAAAACTTGTTATTTTTTAAGTAACAAGAAGAGTAACGAATTACACTTTCTCTTTCTCTCTCTCACTTGCTCTCGTTCTCTCCTTCTCCCTCTCTTAAAAAGGAATTTGAATAATAAAAAAACTGAACTGAAAAATCAAATTTGAATAATATAAAAAAACGAAAAAAGTTATTTTTAAAAAATAACTTTCCCAAATCTGAGTAACATTATAACAATAAAATAAAAAAAATTATTCTTAAAAAATAACTTTCCCAAATCTAAGTAATATTTTCATTAGTAACGATAATGCAATTACATCTTTTTTTTGGGGAGGGGGGATAATGGTGACAAATATAATTCTCCAAAATTTAAAAATAACAAAAATTAGTAATAATTTGTTACTTTTTTTTATTAACGATTAGGGTACCAAGTTACTATTAAAAAGTAATTTTGTCAAATCTATATATAAAATTATTACGAAAAAAATAATTACTCTTAAAAAGTAACGTTCTTAAATTAAAAAAAAAATTATATTATTATACAACGCGAAAAATGTGTATTTTTCGAAGGCAAAGGATACTTGACGAAAGAGAGCTGAGAGCTGAGAAAAAGCATAGATCTGTAACAGTACGATAAAAAGAAAACTAATGATCCATCAGATACATAATAATTCAAAGGCCAGTGCGTACAGGATCGGACAAATACGCCGGGTCGGATAGAAAATCATGTAAAAGAAACGTAGGTTCGCGTGTTCGATATCGCTTCTACACCACCGCGTGCCACATTCGATCGGTCGAGGTTCCTGTGTTGCTCTGTTCACGCTTCGCGGAGCACAGACAAGATCATAGACGCGCGAATAATTACTGAAAGCGATTGAGTGCCGCAGCGTCGTTGACGACGGCAAGGGACGAAGGAGACAAGAGGCAGTTCACAGTGAGGTGAGGCGCGACCCTCTCCTCCTCTCTCCTCTCCTCATCACTCCTTTCCTCCCTAGCCGCGTGTTCACGCGCGTGTTCGCTCAAGGTGGCCACGCGCTTTTTCTCACGATGGAATCGAACGTCCGACGCTTCTTTTTTCTTCCCCCGGCCAAAGTAATGGCTTCGTCCTTCGCGACCGCGCGAGTCATCCGCGCGGCTACGCCGCTAAGGATCTAGGATCTAGGTGAGCACGTAACGAGTCCCGACTGACCTACCCCACCCCACCCCACCCCACCCCACCTCATCCCACTCAACGGACTCGCCGCGGCGTTTACCTCTCTGCTCACCTACGAATTCGCCTCGGCCGCGTCGGTACAGGTAGAGAAAACTTTTTTCCCCGCGTATCTCCCCCTTGGTTCCGCGCGACACCGCGTAAAAACAATCCGTCGGGGATATATAAGTGATCTAGCGGGGTACATGAGACGTAGTCAGTCCGCAGTACCGACGAGATCGCAAGCACCCGCTAGCAACATGTTCAAGCTGGTGAGTAAAGTACTCTCTCGCGGTGGCACACACACACACACACACACACACACACACACACACACACACTCGCTAGGCAAGCGCCGGCGAAGCATTTCCCCGAGGATCGCGCGCAGATACCGGCGCGATTTTTCTCAAACAGCGCGTAAGTGGTCCAGAAAATATCCCGGGTACCTCGCCCGACGTTCTTTACGCGTCTTTTATACACTCTTCTTGAACTCTGGTTTTTTTTTGCTTATTCCGGCGGGAAAAGCGGTGTATGCGAGATCATCGGGTGTGAGTGTGTGTGTGTATGTACGTGCGTGCGTTTGTGTGGGAGGTTGTATGGGTGTGTGGCGCGAGATCTAACAATGTTCGTATTTTGAGAATGATATTTGACTCCTTATGACCTTCCTCTTATCGGGAGGGTAGACTTATCGTAGACTACGGAAAGGGAGGCAGAAAAAGAGGGTGATAAAGAGGGAGAAAGAGAGAGAGAGAGAGGAAAAAGAGACTCGCAATATCGTGAGAAATGCTACGGACGATCTACGGTAACATTTGCAGTGAACTTTACTTGCCGCCGCGGGCGCGATTTTATCGCGCCCGGAGAATACGCTCGCCGTTTCATTCATATCACATTATACGCGGCTGAAATCATCCTGGGATATATGCGTAAATAAAGCCGAAGGCTACGCGACTGTGCGAACCGTAAGGCTTACAAGTCTCGCTCTCCCCCTCCCCCCTGCCCCGCCCGCCCCTCGTTTACGACGATCTTGCATATAAATTTATATTAGCGCCGTAAGGGATCGTCGCGCGCGCGGCGCAACGTGTCTTTTATAGGGGTAGCGAAACGCGCACTCGCGCATTCGTAATTTATTTTCGTATATTTATATCTCGTGATGTTTATGCTTTCGTGATGTATACCTTCCTCATACCTTCTCACGCTCTTCATCATGTATGCTATACTTCCTGTCTGCTTTTTTTTGTCTGTGAGTTTCATGAGGAAAAAACCTGAAAGAAGAGCGTTATTAAATCCCTCGCTATACCAAAAAATTCGCGCACAACGCGAACGAGTCTTTTCTCCCTCCCCCGTATTCTCTCTCCCCCGTGCACGCGCGCACATATGCACACGTACGTACTCTAATTATATAGATATGATTCTGACTTTTTCCCTTTTGCGAATACTTCCCGTATTCGTACGCACACGGCACATCCGGACTGTACGCGAAATTTTGCACGCGAATCCCCCCGTGAATTATGAACCGTCCGAAATGGACTTAAGGGACATTTCTCACGCACACCTACAACCCGCACGTACACTTTACCGCAGATCGTCCTTCTCGCCATCGTCGCCTACGCGTCCGCCGGTCTCTACTCCGGATACGACGGAACTTACGGCTATGGTGGTTACGGCTACGGCAGCTACGGCTTGGGTCATGGGATCGCACCTGCGGTTCCATACGCTCCAATTGCAACCAGTTACGCCAATACGTACAAGGTAAGCTCTTAAACCGGACGTTACGACACACATGAAGGATTATCAGCGCGCGCGCCGTCTTCTGGACAATGGCTAACAGCTCAGAGTGTAACGCCATTTTCGGAAACGTTGCGTGGCGAGCGAAGTCGAACGGAGAATAATGTTCCAGTTAGGGCTCCTACAAGTATTCGAATATCTGAATTATTCTGATATCCGAGATCAGAAACCGATCCAAAAACTCAAAACTCGCTATTCGAGTTCAGCTCATTCGAGGAGAGATTCGAATCCAAGACCCAAAACTAAATTCGAATTAAATACTTAAAAAGAGACGAATCAATTTAAATTTCAAAATTAATAGATATCGGGCGAATAAATAAAAAGATGAATCGATTTAATAACAAGATTTTCCGAAATAATTATTCCTCAATTAAGTAAATAGGCATAATTGTCTCAGGTTGGATCGCCAAATTGTAGTTAAAAAGATATTGATTTATTGATTGATTGTCAAATTTCTAAGGGGTCCAGGTTACTGCGAACCATGAAGTAAGAGAGTAGGAGGTCGAATTCCGTGAAACAAAAGTGATGCTGATTTGTGTCCTCTAATTGAGAGGGAATCTGCTGAGAGGAATAACTTCTTATGGTTGGACGCCATTTGTAAAACAATAAGTTGGAGCGAGATAATATATATTTGTCTCACTCTTATTGCAGCAGTTCAGTTTTTTAGCTAAAGAGCTTCACTACTGAATAAGAGTGAGACAAGTATATTTTATCTCGCTCTAACTTATTGCTTTACAAACGGCGCCCAATCATAAGAAGTTATTTCTTTCAGCGGATTTTCTCTCAATTAGAGGACACGAATCAGAACGACTTTCTCTACTCACGCCCTATCAAGTTTGATCTCCTTATCTCTCTTACTTTATGCTGCAAACGCGTCTCTCTGTTAAGCTAGTTCTCTTGCGAATTTAAATCCTGATCCCGATTCGATGCTACAACTATTCGGGTATCTTAGAAAATCCAAATCCTCGGATAACCCGAATTTGAAGCGTCATGTTTATTTACTATTTGGATAATCAAGTATGCGGATATATTATCAGATCCGAAAATGCCCTCTACTTCTGGTTAGAATATTTTAGCTCGGGTATATCGTATCTCTATCTTTTCATATCATAACTGTTAGTTTTCAGAAAGATCAGCAACTCAGTCGCATTAAATGCAACAGTAATAGCGCATATATACATTCAACCCCTTATAGAAATATCATACTAAGAATCATTGATAATTACTTATTATCCAGTATTTTTAATACTGAAAATAAGTAATTATCAATGATTCTTAGTATGATATTTCTATAAGGGACGTGTATAGTTGTTTGCATAAAGTTTGCGACATTTTTTTACAAGTTTATAAACATGCGAGATTAATGAGACTGTGAAGTTCCGTGCATAAACTTATACATTGAGATGTTGTCAAATTTTCCACACTGCCAAATTTTTAAGTACAAGATATACAAAGGTAATTTATAAGCAGAAATGTAAATGTTATTGTATTGAGACTCGTAAAAAAAGTACACTGAGAGAAATTATCCGATAAAAAATTAACAAACTGATATTTCCGATCAAAATACCAATGAATTTTTATATCTGATCAGGATATCCGATTAAATTTAAAGAAATACTTCCGATCATAATGACATTTCATCGGATAAATCGATCAAAAAATTATAAACAAATATTTCTCATCGGATGTTTCCTGATCGGATCCAAAAATTCAACGGTACTTTGAATACACATATCGCAGACTTCATGTAAACAATTGTATTGATGCATAGTTCACAGATATGTGAACAGCGACTTTTTTAAAAACAGGCAAACTTTTTTTTTAACAGGCAAGGAATCACGTCTACGTTCCTTATTACAAAATTATAAACATTCAAACAGTTCTTCTGAAAAGTCTTGTTACTGGTATTTAACATACCTATGAACTAATGCTAACTTTGTAACAAGATAACTTTGTGATAAAGACCGCACATCTTTTTATCTGTTTTTAAAGAAAGTCATTTAAGGCTCCTAGGTGTACTTGCCGCGGCCATATTGTGTTGTGATGTCAGAGACGCGAAATGACTGCTAAAAATTCTTGCGTGTCATCTTTGGAAAAAAGTGTATTTGCATAAAAACTTATAAAATGTCTCGAAAGCTACTCTTTTCCATTAATATTCAACAAAGAATTGCAAAATTAACGTGACATAATCATGAGGAAAGATAGATTAAAGATGAAGGTTTGCATATGACGTTAATTTTATGGCTATTTATTAACTGTCAAAGAAAAAGAGCATTTTAAAAGTATGTTAAAATGATTTAAAGTGTTCCTTTTCATACAAGTATCTATTTATTTAAAAATCCTGAGTTTTAATTTTCCGAAATTTTAATATTCTATTTAACATTTACTTTGATATTCTGAAATCTATATTAACCTCTGTTGATTCTATTTGATCTACTAGCTTTAGCCGAGAGGTTCCCTTTAGAACCTGCAAGTAGTATTTTGTGTGCTTTTTACTATTTAGAGGTACTAAATAGGATTTAAATTTCCATGTGTATTACATATACACCGATCCTTTCGAATATACAGATGTTAAAAAATTTAGATCCAAAATAGGGCTAAGATTTCGGGATGACATTCAAGAATTTTGAGGCTGCGTTTTCTTATGTCATAAATCAAAAGAGCCACGACGAAGAGTTTTAAGGAAGATACACGCTAAAAATTCTTGCAAAATATGTAGAAATAAAAAGATGTATCCATAAAATGATGATCCATAAATTGATCGAGCGGATGTGTATATTATTCCGAACACTTTTTTTGTCCTAATAAATAATAAATAATTGTGCAAAAATACATGATAAAATCATAAGGGAATATATGTAATATATATAAAAATGTAGTTTGCGTGTTACGTTGATTCTACGGTTCTAATTTATTGTTAGAGCAAAAGAGGAAAGCATTTGGACTATTTTCTACCCAATCGATTCCAAGTTATATCTTTTCATTTCAACGTATTGATACGAATTTTTGTCGTGCATTTTCTCGCCTCTGATGTCACGAATTGAGAGTTTCGCGGTGGAGAATCAAGAGCCTTAACACATCTGCGAATTAACGTGTCGATACTACTGTTGCATTTAATACACCTAAGTTGCTGAATCTTCTCAAAAGCCATAGTCGTAATATAAAAACATATAGATATGATGCCAAAGCACTCTGACCGGAGATGGAAGGCATTATCGGAGCCGGTTGTAACAGTAGCAGTAGCTTTCGCTCGTTATTATTTCGGTGAAACGAAAGGTGTTCAGCCGCGTTAAAGGGAAACGTAATTATCGTGTGGATTTTAATTGGTTGATTCCCACATTAATCTCTTTAATAAAATTCTCCTTTAATCGTCAAAGCGAAATAATTATCTTCTCAGGTCGCGGTTGCCCCGACTGTCGCTAAGTACGTTGCACCTGCCTACACGAAGGTGGCGTATGCACCCGCCGTCACAAAGCTTGCTTACGCTGCACCTGCTGTCACTTACGCGGCGCCAGTGAGCTACGGTCACTACGGATACTCGGTTCCACCTTCTTACGGTCTTGGATACGGATACGGACATGGATACGGTCTTGGTTATGGCTATGGAATCGGCCACGGTGGCTACGGTGGCTACGGTGGATACGGCGGATACTATCATTAGGGTAGGACCACGGGACCTCTGGGAGCCCTCTGGGAGTGATCGCCTTCTTCGACGAGCTCGATCGTGACGGCTGCAACCGCACAGCCTGCGCTTACTGCCACGAACTCTCTGTCATCAGCTATGTACATGATGTTTATAATATAGACGTTCTCATCTTTTACATTGTTTTCGTTTTTTACGGTGTATGCCCGACTGTGGTGTCTTCAACCAGACAGTGCAAAACGTCCCAACATCATTCTGAATGTACTCAGGATGATTTCAAGACGTTCTGTGCTAACTGGGAAGTCTCTGTAAAGTCTCCTAAAGATATCAACGGAGGCTAGTGCTGTCAACATAACCTGAGTATTTATACACTTGGTTACTGAATGATATCTACAGGTATTACTCGTATTAGGGCACTCAAACTGGCGAGTGCTACTCCAGTATCCGAGTAAAAATATTTTTGATATACGGAGGAAAAAAGTTTGCTTGAATTAACGTAACAATTTGTTGAATTGACGATTAACTGTCTTCAACCAGACAGTGCAAAACATTCTAACATCATTCTGAATGTACTCAGGATGATCTCAAGACGTTCTGTGCTAACTGGGAAGTCTCTGTAAAGTCTCCTAAAGACATCAACGGAGGCTAGTGCTGTCAACATAACCTGAGTATTTATACACTTGGTTACTGAATGATATCTACAGGTATTACTCGTATTAGGGCACTCAAACTGGCGAGTGCTACTCCAGGATCCGAGTAAAAATATTTTTGATATACGGAGGAAAAAGTTTGCTTGAATTAACGTAACAATTTGTTGAATTGACGATTAACTGTCTTCAACCAGACAGTGCAAAACATCCTAACATCATTCTGAATGTACTCAGGATGATCTCAAGACGTTCTGTGTTAACTAGGAAGTCTCTGTAAAGTCTCCTAAAGACATCAACGGAGGCTAGTGCTGTCAACATAACCTGAGTATTTATACACTTGGTTACTGAATGATATCTACAGGTATTACTCGTATTAGGGCACTCAAACTGGCGAGTGCTACTCCAGGATCCGAGTAAAAATATTTTTGATATACGGAGGAAAAAAGTTTGCTTGAATTAATGTAACAATTTGTTGAATTGACGATTTACTGTCTTCAATCAGACAGTGCAAAACATCCTAACATCATTCTGAATGTACTCAGGATGATCTCAAGACGTTCTGTGCTAACTGGGGAGTCTCTGTAAAGTCCTAAAGACATCAACGCAGAGGCTAGTGTTGTCAACATAACCTGAATATTTATACACTTGCTTACTGAATGATATCTAGAGGTATTACTCGTATATTAGGACACTCAAACTGGCGAATGCTATTCCAATATCCGAGTAAAAGTATTTTTGATACACGGAGAAAAAAGTTTGGTTGAATGAACGTAATTTGTTGAATTAACGATAAACAAAGCAAACGAAAAAGCGTTTGCTTCGTTTATCGTCAATTTAACCAATTTTTTTCCTGTATAGAATCATATCGAAATTTCATGATTATCACGACGTGAGGTAATCGATGATGGAAACTTCACAATTATTTTAATTACATTTATAAAGTGAATATACATTTATAAAGATTGTTAAGATTTGTAAAGATCAGATATTACATTTAACATGACATATTGTTTGGAGCAGATTTTGTTGCTATTTTCGTATTTCTTTCGTATTTATATTTTATCATTCTATATGATAAATATGAATGCAATTTGATCAGTCATAAGGGACGTAACGTTGCTGAATTTCGTGATTTAATATATTTAAAATTGCTAATATACTTAAAATAAATTTAACATACATAAAGTTTACATGCACTAACCTATCGAGAATATGTTCCCGTAGAATAGAATATGTTCTAGAAGAATCATATGCTCCTCTTTTATCAATTTTGATCTTGTTATAAAATTATTGATCTTGTTAATTCACGGATAAAACATATTTGGGTCAATAATAAAGTCAATATAAAAGTTCAATAAAAAGTTAATATAAAGGATCAATAATAAAGTCAATAAAAAGTTTCGTTAGATATTTCATCTTTTACCTTGATATGTATTCTGATATGAAAACTAAATATCTTATTTTATCAGACATCTCGTGTTTTATCTTAATATATTCTGAAAAGCTAAATATTTCCTAATCTGCTCTTCGTTGATCTTATTGCAGTACTTTTACGCATTAAACGACTTGAAGAATAAATCAGAGGCAATGATAGTAAGAATAAATAACTGAATATTCGAGTAATTCAATCCGTCTAACTTGAGAAATATTCAGATACTTGAAGTGGGAATCGGGACGATTTGTTGACACCACTAATGGTGACGTCAACGTCCCAATCTTTCAAGATGCCTTTTAATCGTTTAAAAGAAAATCGGTCTCTGTCCCTCTTTTTCTTTCTCTCTTTCTCAAACAGTTTCACAGTACTCTCCTACATTTACACCGTCTGGTTAATTATACCGTGTGCTTTGGCGTGATGTGTCTACATCATGTTCGTATTGTTTGGTAACAAACGTTTCCCCGCGTTCTCGTATCGCGATGGATTTCCATTTTCGCGCTTGTTGCCTCTGCTTTGTTCTCGATTTCGACGAACCGTTGAGACGATCTCAAAGTGCGCGTATTGGCATTGATTCCAAGGGATTGCAGAGGTCTTACGCCCGTGGAGGTCCGCCACGTCTGACCGGAGACGCAGTAGTTAGAGAGGCTTATATATATACACACAGTCAGTCTTAGACCATCATCCATCCATCCATCCGTCGACCCGTCCATCCGAGCGGAGCTTAAAAGGTTGCGTAAGACAAGGGGGAGGTGCGCGAAGGTGTAGAATAGCGTGTGCACAAGTACAAAGAAGAAGTGAGGCTTAAGAGTAGATCAAGGCTAAGGCGAGGCGGGCACCCGCAAACTTTGTTTATCCCGATCGAGTCCATCGGTCTTCGTAATCCTTTTACTTCGACGCGTAACTTTAATTTCGATTTTATGTAATAATGCGAGCGCGCTTTATATAATGCGCGTCCGCTTTATATAATATGAACGCGACTTTACGTTACTTACTTTATCCTCTCGACACTTGATCGCGCGTTTTGATAAGTACCGATAATATTTAAATATTCCAAGGCGAGGCAAGATGTAGAAGAAGTTTTACAGGTTCCCCTTTTTCTCCATATATCGACTACACAGAGAAAAAATACCTAAGAATAAAAAAGATATTTATTCGGTGGATATTAATTAGCATTGAAGTCGGATAAGTTAATACATTTTTTCAACTATAAGTTTGAAATTCAAGACTTATAAAATTAAATTAGTAAAGTTAAAATTTACATGAATAAAACTTAATTTAATTAAAAATTAAGTTAAAATTCAAAGTTAATTGTGCAAAGCAATATATATGTTTTGCATAAATAATTTTTCAAATATAGGTTGAATTTATGTAAAATAATTAAAAGGTAATTTTTTGTAAGAAAATACTGACTACGTTTTGTGTATGTGTGTACGCACTCAGGATCATACACAAGAAAAAAAACACTGTTGTTCAACGAAAAGATTTTTTCTAGCGATATTTTTTATTTTTCTTATTTTTCATTGTAAACTTTCATTTATTTTTTATAGTAACTTTTGATATTTTGGTGAATTATTTTAATTTATATGAGAAAAGTTAATAAATTAAAATTAATAAATTAAAGTTAATGCATTTTAAAATAACTAAGCTAAAAAGTTGATTTATTTAAAATTAACTAAATTAAGTTAAAAGTTATAACATTTTCAACTTAACTTTTAATAAATTAGCTAATTATAAGAATTATAATTATATGTATAAGAAAGAATACAGTCGCTCAAAGAAACGAAACGAAAGAAAGAAAAGAAAGAAATAAAATAATTTCTTCTAGCAATGTTTTTCATTTTTCTTATTTTTTATTGTAAGCTTTTGATATTTTGATGAATTATTTTAACTTATATGAGAAAATAAATTAAAGTTAATGCGTTTTACAATAACTAGTTTACAATTAAAAAATTGATTTATTTAAAATTAACTACATTAAGTTAAAAGTTATGAACTTTTCAATAATTTTTAACCAATTAACTATTCAGATAACACAGAGAATTCGAAAAGAATTCAGTTGTATGTCACCAATTCTGACTTTTTGGATGCAAAAATAATTCTTTCCACTGAACTGAAGAATTCTTTTTGCATTTGAAAACAAATTTAGAATTAATGACATATAACTGAATTCCTTTTGAATTCTCTGTGTTATCTGGGTAATTATTATCCAAATCTGAATAATAAACTATAATTTACTTATACTAATATATATATAATATATTTTTTTACTCTAAGAAAATATTTTTTTCAAATTAGAAAATATACATTTCTTAAAGCCATAAACTTTTTATGAAAGCAATTGTTTATTCTATTTAAATAAAACAATTTTTTTCAAGTAAATATGTTATTAGCGCTTATCGATGAATGTTTTCATTGTTTAGGTATTGCTATTTAAATAAAACAATTTTTTTTTTAATAAATATGTTATTAGCACCCGAATATATATAAAATATTTTCATTGTTTAGATATTTGTTCCTTCAGTGAAACGGATAGTTTTCCGAATATGTAATTATTATAAATAATTTATTTGGAGATAAGCCGGACGCTCGCAATTGTGAGATAACGCTCGATGTTTTTTGACAAACGAAATCATTGACTTCAGTGTATCACGCAATAAAATCATTCTCCTGAATAAAAATAAGGCTATGTGATCAAAATGATATATGTGACAAGCTGCCCGCGCAAACTGTTTACAAAGCGATTCGACTGCTTTAAAGTCAACATCTCTGTCCAAGGTAGATCGATAAAGGAGACTCGGCGAATTATGCGTTCTCGTTTCACGCGAATTTCATTTGCATGGCGATGTCTCGACGAATACAGGATGTCTCGGAATTACCGAATGTTCTTTCAGTTGCGACTTCCTCATTCAACTCGGAGAGTTGATTTCTTTTTCTCTTAATATTACGACTCTTCAGAAACAAGCCAGATTATTACATCAGAACGAAGTCGTCAAATTGAAGAATTCGATATTGTTGCTCATCTGTTCAGGAGTTTATTCAAAGAAAAAAAATCAAAGATTCTTCACTTATAAAAAATTAAATTATTAATAGAAA